GCCTTTCGCGCTGAGTTGCAGCACGGCCGGAATCCTAGATGTTTTGGAGAAAGGGAAACTGGAAGGGCAACGGGCACAGCTTTTTGAAACCAATTTGGATCAATTGGGGCCCTTTGTTTAGTCTACAGGACTGCACCCTGAAAATGTGGGACCTGGAGAAAGGAACTTGTGTCGGGGAGCTCGACTGGGTATGCAGATATTTCAAGATATTACAGGCATGCAAGCGCGCGCAAACCAAGGATGTCGAAGAAAAAATCAGAATAAGCAAATTCTCGTCTTAGTAAACGAATTGAGCACGGGATGGTTTGCTTTTCAGCAGGCGACCACTTTGCGCGGCCATGGTGATGGAGTTATGTCAGTGGCAGTCCTGGCCTCAAAATCTTTCCCTGTCCATTGCAACGAGCTGCAAATTGCTGGTAGATCTCTGTACCATACCAGAAAATACTGTACCAGAACCCGGTATGTCCAGCAGACTTTGTGAAGTGTCAAAGGTCAAAGGTCATCAAGACTTTCTCCCTGATCCATATGATTCATACTCACTTCTCTAGACTTTAGAGCCGCAGTTTTTAACGTTAATACCGTTACCAGTTACCATATATATAAATATATACATACCAGTAGTACCGCACAAGGCGGTGGCGGAAGTTTCAGAAATAGGAAACCTATAGGAGAGGTTCGTTGCTGTGAATCACGGATGGCAGAGCGAAGCCACTGATGGACCGACAGGTGGTTGAGGTCTCCTCTCTTTCTCTCTCTTTCTTTCTCTTTCTCTGACTATCTACCTACCTACCTACCTACCTATCTACCTACCTACCTATCTATCTATCTATCTAGCTAGCTATCTATCTATCTATTTATCTAGCTAGCTAGCTAGCTATCTATCTATCTACTATCTATCTATCTATCTACCTATCTATCTATCTATCTATCTATCTATCTATCTATCTATCTATCTATCTATCTATCTATCTATCTATCTATCTAATCTATCTATCTATCTATCTATCTGTCTATCTATCTATCTATCTAATCTATCTAATCTGTCTGTCTGTCTATCTTTCCATCTATCTATCTATCTACCTGTCTATCTATCTATCTATCTATCTATCTACCTACCTACCTAGCAATTTATCTACCTACCTACCTATCCATCTATCTATCTGTCTATCTATCTATCTTATCTTATCTTATCTTATATCTTTTCTTTTCTCATCTTATCTTAAATCTTATCTTATCTTATCTTATCTGATCTTATATATTTTCTACTCTTATCTTATCTTATCTATCTATCCCTCTATCTCTCTCTATCTCTCTCTATCTATCTACCTATCTATCTATCTATTTAACTAATCTATCTACTCTATCTTATCTATCTTATCTTGTCTTATCTTGTCTTATCTTATCTTATCTGATCTATCTATCTATCTACCTATCTATCTATCTACCTATCTATCTATCTATCTTTCTTTCTATCTATCTATCTATCTATTTACCGATCTATCTATCTATCTATCTTTCTTTCTTTCTTTCTTTCTTTCTTATCTATCTATCTAATCTATCTAATCTATCTAACTAATCTATCTATCTAATCTATCTATCTAATCTATCTATCTAATCTATCTATCTATTCTATCTATTCTATCTATTCTATCTACTCTATCTACTCTATCTACTCTATCTACTCTATCTACTCTATCTACTCTATCTACTCTATCTACTCTATCTACTCTAGATCTAAACTCTCTAAATCACTCTATCTACTTCTATGGATCTATTCTATCGATCGAATCGATCGATCTATCTATCTATCTATCTTCCTATCTTTCCTTTTTCCCTATCTTCCTATCTTTCCTATCTATCCTATCTACCTATCTATCTACTCTATCTACCTACTCTATCTATCTACTCTATCTATCTACTCTATCTATCTACTCTATCTATCGATCTATCTATCGATCTATCTATCGATCTATCTATCGATCTATCTATCTATCTATCTATCTATCTATCTACTCTGTCTATTTACTCTATTTATCTACTGTACCTCTATCTACTCTATCTACTCTATCTATCTATCTTATCTATCTACCTATCTATCTATCTATCTACCTATCCTATCTATCTATCATATCTATCTATCCTATCTATCATATCTATCTATCTATCTAGCTAGCTAGCTAGCTAGCTATCTACCTATCTATCTATCTATCGTATCTATCTATCGTATCTATCTATCGTATCTATCTATCAAATCTATCTATCATATCTATCTACCATATCTATCTATCATATCTATCTATCATATCTATCTATCATATCTATCTATCATATCTATCTATCATATCTATCAATCTATCTATCATATCTATCATATCTATCATATCTATCATATCTATCCTATCTATCCTATCTATCAATCTACCTATCTACCTATCTACCTATCTACCTATCTACCTATCTATCTATCTACCTATCTATCTATCTATCTATGTATCTATCTATCTATCTATCTACCTATCTATCTATCTATCTACTCTATCTTCTCTATCTTCTCTATCTTCTCTATCTTCTCTATCTTCTCTATCTTCTCTATCTTCTCTTTCTATCTATCTACCTACCTACCTATCTACCTATCTACCTATCTACCTACCTATCTACCTTCCTACCTATCTATCCTATCCTATCCTATCCTATCCTATCCTATCCTATCCTATCTATCTATCTATCCTATCTATCCTATCTATCCTATCTATCTATCTATCTACCTACCTATCTATCTATCTATCTATCTACCTATCTATCTATCTATCTACCTATCTATCTATCTATCTATCCTATCCATCCTATCTATCTACCTATCTACCTATCTATCCATCCATCCTATCTATCTATCTATCCATCTATCTATCTATCTATCTATGTATCTATCTATCTATGATATCTATCTAATCTATCTATCTATTTTATCTATCTATTATATATCTATCTATTATACCTATCTATTTTACATCTATCTATTATATCTATCTATTATATCTATCTATTATATCTTTCTTTTATATATATATATTATATCTATCCATTATATCTATCCATTATATCTATCGATTAAATCTATCTATTTTATCTATCATTTATATCTATCTATTAAATCTATCTATTATATCTATCTATTATATCTATCTATAATACCTATCTATCATATCTATCTATCATATCTATCTATCATATCTATCTTTCATATCTATCTATCATATCTATCTTTCATATCTATCTATCATACCAATCTATCATATCTATCTATCATATCTATCTATCATATCTATCTATCATATCTATCTATCATATCTATCTATCATATCTATCTATCATATCTATCTATCATATCTACACATCATATCTACATATCTACATATCTACATATCTATCTACCTATCTATCTACCTATCTATCTGTCTATTAATCTAATGTATCTATTAATCTCATCTATCAATCTATCAATCTATCAATCTATCAATCTATCAATCAATCTATCTATCTATCTATCTATCTATCTATCTATCTATCTATGAATCTAATCTAATATAACGGTATCTATCTACTCGATCTATCTACTCGATCTATCTACTCTATCTATCTACTCTATCTATCTATCTATCTACCTACCTGCCTACCTACCTACTCTATCTATTTACTCTATTTATCTACTGTATCTACTGTATCTACTGTATCTACTGTATCTATCTACTCTATCTATCTATCTACCTATCTATCTATCTACCTACCTATCTATCTATCTACTCTATCTATCTACTCTATCTATCTACTCTATCTATCTACTCTACCTATTTACTCTTTTTATCTACTGTATCTATCTACTCTATCTATCTATCTATCTGTCTATCTATCTGTCTATCTATCTATCTATCTATCTATCTATCTATCTATCTATCTATCTATCTATCTATCTATCTATCTATCTATCTATCTATCTATCTATCATATCTATCTATCTATCTATCTATCTATCTATCTATCTATCTATCTATCTATCTAATCTATCGTATCTAATCTATCTAGATCGTATCTATCTTCGTAATCTACTATCGTATCTATCTATCTAGTATCTATCTATCTAATCTATCTAATTATCTATCTATATCTATCTATCTTCCTATAATCTATCTATCTATCGATCATCTATTCCTATCTACCTATTCTAATCAACCTATTCTAATCTACCCTACCTACCTATCTATCTAATCTATCTATCTATCTATATCTATCTATCTATATCTATCTATCTATCTATCTATCTATCTTCTATCTACTATCTATCTATCTTATCTAATCTAATCTATCTATCTATCTATCTATCTATCTATCTATCTATCTATCTATCTATCTACTCTATCTACTCTATCTACTCTATCTACTCTATCTATCTATCTATCTATCTATCTATCTATTAATCTAATCTAATCTAATCTAATCTAACCTAACCTAATCTAATCTAATCTAATCTAGCTATCTACTCTATCTATCTACTCTATCTATCTACTCTATCTATCTACTCTATCTATCTACTCTATCTATCTACTCTATCTATTTACTCTTTTTATCTACTGTATCTATCTACTCTATCTATCTATCTATCTATGTATCTATCTATCTATCTATCTATCTATCGACCTACCTACCTATCTATCTATGTATCTATCTCTCTCTCTGTCTGTCTACCTATCTGTCTATCTGCACGCTTGAAAACGAAGCTCTTCTGCGAGACTAATTTTTTTTGAAGTTGACAACATCAAAAAACGAAGCAATTCTGCGAGACTTCCTCATTTTTTGAACTTGACAACATCCAAAACGAAGCAATTCTGCGAGACTTCTTCAATTTTTGATCTCGACAACATCCAAAACCAGGCAATTCTGCGAGACTTCCTTCAAAAATGGAAAGTTGAGCGCAGCGCTGACAGCCTCGTACTATTGCGTTTTGCGATTTTTCCAGTCCACCTGTCGAAAGTACTGCGCCTGCCACGAAAAAGTGATGCCAGGTCATACGAAGTGTTGCACCTGTCACGCAAAATCATCTCAGAAAACCTGAAGATCTGATGCTCCAAAATGCAACCCGTCTCAGGAAATCAGCGCCCTGACCTCCTAACATCTCTGATGAACACGTCTTTTGTACTGCGCCTGCCACGGAAAATGCATCTTTGCAGAGCCTCTTCAAATGTCCCACTCCTGCCATCCTTTTTGGAAACCCTACAAAAACGACCACACGTGTGGTCCACCTTTCACCAAGGGCACAATTTCCTGCGCCGGGGCCCACTGCGACACACGAACATCTGAACCTCCAAAAGT